AGGAAATTGAATTTAAAATTTAAAACTTTTTAAATTTAAATTTTCGCTATGAAAATTTAACTTTAATTTGTTTTTAAGTGCGGATTCGTAATCAGCGTGAAAAACTGCGTCTAATGATGTATTTTTAGGCATTGCTCAAGTTAAAACAACAATTCGAACCTTCGCATCCGAAGGTGGACCGTTAACTGGCCACGCCGTGTAGTCTACGTCTATGCTCTGCTCATTTTATTATTTTTGACGACTTCCCTTACATATTAGTTTTACCAAACAAGAAAATTTGTTATGGCACAAACGATGACTAAAGGAATATTCTGGACCTATTTTCTGTAGTCAACGCGATTTTTTACATGTCCGTGATGACTAGAGTCAAGATATTTTAACTAGCTCAGTTCGTGAGGGCCATCGAACACTATATTTTTCATTATAACAGAAAAAATGACTAACGGAGTGTTCCGGAGCTGTTTTCCGTACTCCAACGCTTCTTTAGTTGTCTTTTGTTACTTGTCCTACCAGTCAAGATATTTTGACACCACATTTTACTTATCATATGGGTGTTGTTTTTGAGAGTGCAGATTGGGATGCTATTGTTGAAGAATTAACGGAATTTTCGTGAAAAAAGTATCTGATTATAAACTTACTTAGAATCGAATTCGAAATATGTTTTTACTACATACGTAAACCGTTATTGTTCGAAAAAGAGTGTGGACCGATTGTTAACCTTATGGATTTCGGTCGTTTATAAGTCTTGTTTAATGGCTGTTTTCGGATGTTTACAAATTCCTTAGTATTTCTTTCGTCTAAGTAATCAGAATTTTGTTACTGAAAAACAACTTGATTAGACTTCTGTGTGGTAAACTATAATTTACCTTTATAGAACAATAACAGCGTGTTTGAGGTCTCACGAATGTGTACACAATTTTTCTTTCGAAAAGTCCATTAAATAAGGCATTTGAAAGTGGGATATTCAAATGGAGCAAAGCATTTTCTATCTAACTTCAAACCAGAATAACTTCAACATGTTCCTATTAAAAGTTACTCAAGTTGCACAAAGATGTGTATTATTTTTGAATGGACTGTAGGACCAGTATGCATTACTAGTCCGAGCATAGATCGAGGTTGAACCGACTGACTTCAGAATACACATAGATTCACTCAACAAGGTATAAGAAGTCAAATATTGTATGGTAATACTACTTTCGGACTAATCTAACTTGTTAAATTTATAAAGAAAATGGCACTTTCCATTTTCCCGAATAATATAAAATCTCCGTAAAAAGTACGTTGATTGTTGTTTCTATTTATAGAACTTTTTAAGTACTTTCTACTGTAAAAGTTTGACTAAGATCGGACAGATGAAACGTTTGAGTACAAAGCGAACAATTTTGAAAATGTGATTTGACAAAAGGAACGAAAATACTATTTTTAAAAAAACTTCTGACATTTTTTCACGAAAACAAAAACGAAAAGGATTAGAATTTTTTTTTGCCAAACGTCTACTCGGTCACTCTAGACAAAAAAAACTGAAGTGCTTCTCAAAGTATTTGTGCTCGAACGAGTATCAACAGTAAGAAACAGAATAAAGTGAGTCATATATTCTGGAAGAATAATGTTTTTTCTTTCTTTCTTTATAAAGAAAAAGCTGCTTTTCTTCATATATCTCGCAAAAACACATGATTTTTTAAAGCCAATGCCTTGTATTTCAGTTGGAAGACGAGCTGGAAGTATAATATTTGGTGTCTGATGCAGTAATAAGAAGCAGAGAGGAAAATAAAATAAAAAGAACACGTTTTGAAACCGGTTCGCAGAAACAAGAGTTATAGACCAAACACTAATAAAACTCAATTGTTCTTGAAAGTCAGATTCACACATATGCAGAGCTGATTGAATAATAGATCTTGAAAGTTCTATTGGGTTTGATACCTTTAGTACAGTTTTATAGTGCAAATAATGGAGTCAAGAAAAATGAACGCTACTTTTAAAATAGAACAAAAATCGATACAACTATAGGTGTCAGAAAAAGATGTAGGTGAGATTAAAAAAACAAAATTTGATAAAGCTTGAAACTTAGCATTGCAGAAATAAAAGGCGGCTATACTAACAGTACCTAGATGTCTGTGATAATAAAGTTTTTGTTTGTTAACCGAATGATCAATTAATATCACCGAATATTTTTTTCAAAATTTCAATCACTACTTATTCATACTGCCAACACAGTTAAAATCTTCTAATGCTTCTTGAACACGTTTTTTCATTGTTTCTTCACCTTTACGGACCCATGTACGTGGATCATAATATTTCTTGTTTGGTTTATCGGCACCGTCAGGATTACCAATTGGTAACATTAAATAATCTTTATTTTTTAACATGTAATCACGAATACCAGAACAATATGCAAATTGCATATCTAATAAGAGAAATAAACAAAAGAGTGATGAGATATGTCATAGAAAGAGAAGAGTGGAATGGTGTGCAGGTTTCCAATGGCGAGGTCTGATGGCTTTTCAAATATTCCATTTAAAAAATCAAATAGTTATTGACGTAATCTGCTACAAAGGATGAGTGACAACAAATTATTTCTTTTGTCCGAAATTTTTAGGTTCTGACAGCAGCTTCGATATCCACATCGAATTCTGAGAAAAATCTGATATTTTTGTATGAGAAAAATTCTATGAATGCTTAGCATTGAGTGTCTCTTTTCTTTATGATCTTCTAGAGTGATGTCTATCAACATTTTTATCTTAAACTAAAGTTCTATATTCCTCAAGACATATGAATTGAGCTACGTTCATTGCAAATGTCGTATATGTTTAGTAAAAGAACATTTTCCGACAGTCTTTTTCGGCACTCTGTTCTGAGGGTATATACCATTAGTCATTAGAGTGCCTTTCGCTCAATCAGTTGAGCTTAACGACTTGAGTGATTATATTAGCTAGGAACAGTTTTCGACACCAAATTTGGATAAGATATTTTCAAAAATTAAAAACCTGTGGGAAAGTCGGAGATGTAAATCATCATTGTTTATGGACCCATATGATACCGACAAGGTATGCTCGAAACATCAGAATTCCGCTGAAAATGTAGAAAACTGAATTTTACACATTTTCTAACAGTTTTAGATTGATTGAAAACTTAAAAAAAGGTTTGTGTCCACTTTCAAGTTTTAGTCTATGAGAAAAAATCATATGAAGTCAAGGATGGATAAAATGCCATTTTCTCATGCAGAATTCAACTGTCGGAAAATATTATTTTACTAAACAAATTCGACATTTACAATGAACGTAGCTCAATTCATATGTCTTGAGGAATACAGAACTTTAGTTTAAGATAAAAATGTCGTGCGAAAGTTGCGTAAAAAAAAGGCAGATCAACGAGTCCTTTCTAAAAGAAAAAATGGCGTTTATTGTCGGTTGTTTTTTGATTGCTTTTCCACTATGCTTTCAGTTTTGGGCTTACAATTGTCACGAAAGCCAAGCCACAAGAAAAAATGCGCCATTTTCATAACTGTCTTATTGGCCAGTTATTTGGTATTAGCTTTTGCTTCTACTCACCTGTATCCAAATTAACTTTAACAACTCCGTGACTAATGGCATCTTTGAATTCTTGTTTCGTTGAACCTGAACCACCATGCATAACCAAGAAAATTGGTTTATCTGTCTTACTGCTTAATTTTTCTTTTGCATATGCTTGATGTTTACCAAGTAATTCTGGATGTAATTTAACATTACCTGGTTTATAAACCCCATGTACATTACCGAATGCAGCAGCTATTGAAAAATATGGTGATACTTTTATTAATTCATCATAGACATCATAAACATCTTCCGGTTGTGTATATAATGATTTATTATCCACGTTTTCATTATTTACACCATCCTCTTCACCACCCGTAATACCTAGAGAAAAGAAAGAGAAACGTTCTTCCCTGTTGACAATAAGTGAAACTTTAAGAAAACAGTTAGTCTAATGCATAAATCCAAAAACCAGCTGAAAAAATTAGTTTTTTTTAATCTGGATACATTAGAAATCTTCTTAAACCGGCACATGTAAAAAGGTTTGGTCATTTTTTAGTTTTTGCTCTTGAAAGTCTCACTAATCATGAACAATAACTAACGTTTTTATGAGTTTTTTAAATTTATATGAGTGTATAAGAAAACATAATGTGGGTAAAAAATCTTTTGCCACGATAATTAGCACATTTTATCGAAGTATGTAACTAGGCATGTACCGATTATGGTTACCAGCCGATTAACTAGACCACCGGTTCACCGAATTATAGACCAGTCACCGTAACCGGACACAAAAGATGTTCCAAAAGTTGTTTTTATTAGGTATGCATCGGTGCTGATTAATCGAAAAAACGATGTTAAAAATTTATTTTCTGCTTAAAATATTTCTGAATCATCGAAAATCATCAGCGAATGATTTACACCTATTAGAATGACCGTAGAAGTCAAGTGTTCTTTCCTTCACTGTATTCTTTTCACCGTGGAACATCCTCAACTGATAACTCGTTGTTTTAATGCAATACATAGACTTCATATCATGCTCGTGTATATTGCAGAAGTTCTAGCTTTCGATTTAAAGGAAGAAAGTGTTTACATTGTGAACAACATTCTTTTATTTTGTCCTGTCAATCGCTATTTGGTTAGGCGGATCGGTTAAAGAGTAGCCCAAATGAACCGTCAGTTCGGTTAATCGTAACGCTACACGCCTATATGTAACATGTTTTTGTGAAAACTTTCAAGTACTAGTCCGATATACTCCAAAGAAAATTTTGAGGTAAGCTGACGGTGGATCGATCAAATCTTGCTGCCTAATCGCACTGTTATTAACATTCTCTTAAAGCTTTATATTCATTGTCAATAATAATACTTCGGACTGATAATACTTTTACTGCAAAAGACTTGTTCAGTTAGTTGCATCTAGTCAAAATTATTTTCTTTAACTAATTCCGTTCAAAAGTTATTCATATAGCAGTGTGATCGCCCATTTCTTTTTCTAACATACCGATTTCCATTTCTAACCATTGTTGCATTGGTGCCATACGTTCTAAATATTTTTTTGTCTCTTTTATATTATCATTTTTACTTTCTTCACTTAAATCAATCATATGTGATGAAAACAATGGCTGGTTGTTTTTTTTAAAATATTCTTCATCTGCATCTAACATTCCATCTAACCATGGTAATAATTTTTTTGCACAATGATCTGTATGTAATACAACTGGTGCATATAATGGTGCTATTGAACGTATAAAGTGTGCTGCTGCTACTGCACCAGCTATGGATGCTTGTTGTTTATCATTAGGTTGTCCTTTACCGGCAAAGAATGCTGCACCACCTTGACTTATTTGTAATATAATTGGACTATTTGCTTCTTTAGCCGCTTCCAAAGCAGCAATTATTGTCGATGATGATGTTACATTAATGGCTGGTAATGCAAAATTATGTTCTTGACATATTTTAAATAATTTAATTAATTGATCTTGTACAAGAACACCCGATTTAAATTGATTCATTATGCCGATATTTTGATTGAATTCAATAGAAATCTACAAGAAAAATGATTGATTTTTTTCGACCATTATCATGAACAGAGCATTTTTATGTGCTGATTCTGAATTTAAATTTCATTTGAACTGGTAGTGAGAAGATCGCTAGTTATTCGAACTTAAACGAGTCAGAGTTTGTAAATCCAGTTCCGGATGTGAATTGTGTAATTGAAGCCCGAAATATTCAGAATACATGTTCAACAAAATTGCAATTGTAAGAAAATTTTGCAGTGCTCAATGAGGTCTTCAGCACTTAGGTTTTTGCATATCTCTAAATCTCACCAACGACCCAAACGTTGCTGATATCTGTACTCAGTCAGATCCTATAAAAATCTATATTCAAGATCAAACAAACTGCACAGCTGAAGATCGACCTCCGCTCGCCAGACTGATATCAGAAATACTAAGCAATAAATCAAATACACTTGAAGAAAAGGAAGTAGAGCCTGCTCCGACACACTTTTACCTAGTCCCTCTACAACTTCTACAGGCTACGATTGGTGAGTCATGAAGCTAAATACGGCTAGAAAAAAAAGTGGGTCTCTCGGGCTCCAATAGAAACAGAGATACTCATTATGGATTTCTTCTTCACTTTTTCTAGTTTTTAGATCATTCAACTCTTCCTCCGCTTCAATTCTGCTCATTTTTATTTATTAGATTACCACATGACTATTTCATTCAACTATTTATACTACATCTAGCGATCAACATGAATCCATGACTGTGGGTTACTTCACTAGCTTAATACAGATTTAACGAACTTAACTATGATGTATAATTCTCTTGACTTTAGTCTAGGATCGTATGGAAGAAAAATCTGGACTATAGAAAGTATCTACGTAATCTGGTCGCTTGGTAAACCGTGGATTCACCAATCAACGAACAATAACACACTAATGCGTATAATACAAGTGTATAGAAATAGGACAAGAACGGGATTACAAAGCATAAGCAAAAGAAATAAACAGAGTGAAAATGGAAACGAAGCGTATAACTGGTTCTTGCCCTTTTATGGATAGATGCCGCTCTTTTACAGCAGTACATGTTCGTAGCACTAAAATAGATCTGTGGTTTACATAATTTGCACGACGTGAGTAGTCTTTCATGCGGAATATAACGGAAATGTTTTCCGCATAACAGCCAGGATTCCACGTATCAAAAAAGCGTTCGCTTCGTCAAAGTGTTTCATCGTTTGAGAAAAGTATTCCTCACATAAAAAGATAGGAGAAAAAGATGCTGAAAGAGGGTTCTATTAAGATTCACTCAGCAATGCGGTGTACAAATAGAATTCGATGATGTACCATGCGAACATGACATCAACAGGTATTCAGGTGCGTAATTTCGGGCCACTATCATGTCTCCGAAGCGATGACCTTAATCATGTAAATTGATCGCCACTATGAATCGGCTTTGTGTACACTATACACTGGGCTGTTTGCAAAGTGTGAAACATAGAGTAAGACTAAGAGACTAAGGCTAAGACTATTTATTCACGAAAAGTGAGAGTCCTTAAAAGTCCCCTACCTATAATAACAATGACTCACCAAACAACAACAAATGGGACTATAGATGGAGAAATAAAGCAAAAAAAGAAAAAGAAATAATAACTAGTATATGACAGAGAGACAAAAAAAGAAAAGGAAAAAAATAACTAAGTATATGAAAGAAAGATAAAAATAGAAAAAAAAAGAAACAAAATAAGAACAGAACAGCAGCAGTGTACTTCGTATAACTGTAAACGTGGTTAAGTTCTTCTGTACAAGATGTTGAGATAGAACTATTTTGAAGGACAATAAAGAAGATGAAGAATAACTGATTCTAGAAGACTATTAGTAACCGTTGAAAAAAAGTAGGAAAAAGAAACATTTTCTGGAGAAAAACAATTGATAAGACGCTGAAACGAACATATTTGGAATGATGATAATGTAAAGACAAATAATGAGGACGATTATCAGTATAGAAAACGGAAAGAGGACTAAGAAAATGATACATTTTGAATAACTGAGCCCAATTTTTTCGTTTGGTAACTGACATTACAGGTTATTCGCTTATGGTTAGTCAAAAGCTGTAACTGCATGCAGCCTAAGAGCTCCTATTAAAAATTTACAACCATCTTACAATCCATTTTTGTTGTTCCAAATCAAAACACGACCTGTATTTCTGTTCCGAAATGGAACACATCCTTACCAATGCGTAATATTTAAGTAAAGTCTGAAAAAAAGATGTGGGCTCTACCCGAAGTACAAAATCAAGGCATATGTTTGTAACAAAATATGTTCAGAAAAGTCAGGACTACCAGTAGTGAAAAACTGAAGTCTTAGAGACGAAATTTTTCTCTACTTTTGCCTTCTCTATTATCCGCTGATTTTTTCAAGGCGATTATTCCAAGTAAATCTACTTTCTAAAGGCATAAATATCAAATTTGCCATTTTCAGTTATTTGTAGGATAATCACGAGATTCAAGATTTGACTCCTGCGGGGCAGTCCCGCACTCCATCCCGTCTGTCCCGTCCCGTGGGACAGATGGGGTCGGGACAACAAGAAATTACGGGCTTGTGCTCGGGGTAAGAAAAAAATTTCACAGGATCGAGACAAGTTGCAGAAAAATGCTGTTCCGTAAGTTTTGTCTTTTGATTGTAATTATACTGCAACTTCAAATGTTTAATTCTTGTAATACTATCAAGTCAATACAAATTTAATATCAGTAGGCGACAATTTTTGAAATAATTTCATGCTAGTTGCAGCTAATTTTAGAATTTTATTCTACAAAGCTTGATATTTCGACCATTCACGGTCATTGTCAAAAGTGAAAATGTACACACAAGACGTATAACGATACTGAACGATCTATACCATTTAGTATTGGTTCTTGTGATCGTATCAAGAGTGATTTAACAATTTAAATTAATTAATAATTTCTTTTATTAACGATTTATATTTGTGTTGCTCACTAGCGAGAATTTCAAAGTCATTTGGTATATTTAAATGTCCAATCGCCTGATAATGTCTACCAATAGCCGACTTTGCCAGTATCATTTGTTTTGGATTATCTTTTATCAGTGTTTGGGTAGCGAGTAACTCATCAAGTTCATCATCATTTAACTTTTTCATCGCAAGGGGAAGTTTACCGGTTCTTGAACGTGTGAGAATTATAAAATGTAAAATCAAAAGGACGGGGAACGATAAGACCGCAAATCAGTCTTAAGTTATCTCATCTAATGCGGTTTTTGTCCACGATTAACCCACCATATTTTAGATCGTAGAGATCCTTTTCAGCAACCCCGGTAACTTTTCAGCAAAAAAAATCTTTCCTTGTTAAATGACCTTAACTCAAAGTACTTTCATTATTTCACTTCTTTCACCTAGAGCAAACACAACCTATTATACACCGTCCGATAGAGAATTTCACGGGCTACAGAATAATATATCAGACAGCCTAAAGAAAATGTAGCTGGGTAGTCTAAGATTCGAAATACTCGGTAGCATCACAGTAAACCGGTAGGTCAACGTTGTTCATGTTTATAATAATAATAATGACTTAATTTCCTTGATTTAATTTTTTCATTTCATTTAAAGAACTCTCTTCATGTGTGACCCCAATTAAGCATGTAACTGTGCTAGATTTTAAAATAAAAGTACATGAAAAAGCTGATATAATCGCAGGTGTGAGCAGTCTTGGTGCAACCTCATATTGACAACTTCTCACTTTTATTTTGAAATGGAATATCAACAAGACGAATCAGATTTATGAAATAAAATTCTGAGAGAACTTAGTCAACGTGAGGTTGAAATTTTCTTCACCAAAAACATCATATCTTAAATATAATGTGCAAAAATCAGTATGTAGAAAGTTCAACTTTGTGAGAACCAGGGATACTCAAAACGTTCGAGAAAGAGGAACTCATGAATAGCAGAAGGTTTATATGTTTCATGGGACTACAGCTCGTAGTTTTCCTTAACTTGATTACATCCTATTCTCGAAGAAAAGCCCGAGTACAACATCGTGTAATCGACTGCCACTTACAAAACTAAAACAAGTTAAAATTATGATTTCTGGAAGTGAATATATACAAAAACAAAAGTAGATATCTTGAATAGATCTGAGCAAAATTTATTACATGAATTGAGAAGAAAGAACAAAACAAAAATATGTGACGCACAAATTTCTATATATGAAAATATTACAATGCATGCAAGATTTTCAGACTTAAACACCATCGAACTATTCAAATAAAAATAAACTCATCTGTGACACAATCCTCAGAGAGTAAAAGGCATGTAAATAATAAAACTATTTATAGAAATGCCATACAATTATTTTGACATCGACATATTCTCATATTAACACAAAATCAACAATTTAAATTATTCAAGATATAAATAAAAATGATAGCTAGATGAAATTGAGAATCGATGAGTGATAGAAGACATTCTCTTCTGCCTTTTGAGTTTATGAAGTGAAAATTATGATGATTGCAAGAGATCTAATTCATGAGTTTATTTTACCTGAATAGTTCGATGGTGTTTAAGTCTGAAAATCTTGCATGCATTGTAATATTTTCATATATAGAGATTTTCGTTTCAGATATTTTTGTTTTGTTCTTTCTTCTCAATTCATGTGATAAATTTTGCTTAAACCTATTCAGGACATCTACATTTTTGTTTCTGTATATATGTCACTTCCAAGAATAATAATTTTAATTAATTTGGTCTTATAATTCATGGCGATATGTTTTATTTTTATAGACGGTACTTACATTTCGTTCATACTTTTATATTTTATTGTATAGCCTACATAGAGTTTTTAGGTCACATAGACTTAAGTCATACAGGTCTATATGACCTATATAGATGATTGATGGTTTATTGCGAAAGACATGACCAGGCCGTTTGCCCGCTTTCATGACACACTAGAGAGATAAAGTTTAAACATATTATAAACAAACAAACACACATCTTTAAAAGAAACAACAAGGTATAAAACAGTTTAACAAAAAGAGACAAACACCTTTAAAAGAACCAAATAAAACAGTTTAACACATAAAAAAAAGAAAGAGACATCACCAATCATAAATTCAGCAGTTTATTTAAAATAGTTTTGATTGGGTTTAAGCGCAAACGTAATATGTTTGTTTCATACTTTTCTTGGTAAAACACATAGTTAACAGACATGGGCGAGTCCGAGTCCTCAAAAACTTATTCCGAGTCTGAGTCCGAGTCCATTTCGAGTCCGGTAATCTTTTAGATTCTTTTTTGATGATTGTGGTTCATTTCTTTTTTTTTCTGTGCCATTTAATATATCA